AGTGATGTGCTGGGGGCGAGTGAGGGAGAAACAGAGCCCCCAGCCGTGACCTCAGCGCAGGTGTCCCATCGGCATCGCCCTGGGAGGGATCTGGCAAGATTTCCTGACTAATCACCAGGATGTGGCTTTTAAGGAGCCCTTGGAAGGTGCCTCCATGGAGGGAGGTCTGAAATCAACGTAGCATCTGTTTTAAAGTCAGTTTACATAGGAAACTACATTTCAGAGGGGGGGCTATGTTGGTCTGGGGGGGCAGCTAGAATCGAGCCCAGGAACACCTTGGGAACCAGCAAGACTTGGGGGGGGGGTTATGAGCCTTCGAGAGTCGGCGCTCGCTTCGCCAGATCTGGTACTGTGCAGAACCATTTGCTGGGCACCAAGGCTTCCTCTAAGCTATGGAGTCTTGTGAGCAAAAAGTCTACTTGGTGAGCTGCTGGCATTAAAGTTGTGAGCGAGCGATTTGGCTGCTATGTAAATTAGTTTGCTCTGGAGCCCCATCCTTCCTGAGTGAAGACAAAATTGTGTGAGCCGGAGGCTAAAAAACTGTGAGCTGGCTCACACTGACTCACCTTAGAGGGAACACTGCTGTGCACGCACCTGTTGCTTTTTCGGCTGGGTGCACGGGAGTGTAGTTAGAGCCATGGCTGCCGCAGGCAGACTCGCCTCCTCCTGAACCCGGCTCTGGGATCACATGAGGAGGAGGAGGTCTGGCCAAAGGGTCTCCTACCCCAAGGAGAGCGAGCAAGGCTGTGAGTGCAGTGGTGGTGGTGAAGGTGTCAGTTGGTTGGTCGGCAGCGGCGCCCCATCCCCAACAGCAGCCAGGCCACCACCTGTTTGGGAACATGCACTTAGACACCCTCCCCCCTCCCCGTATGCAAAATACAGGCACTTGTAGCCCCCCCCCCCCCCCCCACCCAGGAAATCTGCCATCCAGTTTTTGTGGCCTTTTCTGCTAGCATTGTGAGGGTCTCCCGACCAGTGTTCCCTCTAAGCTGAGTTAGTGTGGGCTAGCTCACAGTTCTTTAGCCTCCAGCTCACACATTTTTGTCTCAGCTTGGGAAGGAGGGCTCCCGAGCAAACTGCTAAATGCAGTAGCCAAATGGCTCGTTCACAACTTTAATGCCCGGAGCTCACCAAGTAGAATTTTTGCTCACAAGAATCCACAGCTTAGAGGGAGCATTGCAGCTAGTGTTCCCTCTCAGCTGAGTTAGTGTGAGCTAGCTCAGAGTTCTTTAGCCTCCAGCTCACACATTTCTGTCCTAGCTCGGGAAGGATGGCTCCTGAGCAAACTGCTTTAGGCAGGAGCCAAATGGCTCACTCACAACTTTAATGCCAGGAGCTCACCAAGTAGAATTTTTGCTCACAAGAATCCACAGCTTAGAGGGAGCATTGCAGCTAGTGTTCCCTCTAAGCTGAGTTAGTGTGAGCTAGCTCACAGTTCTGTAGCCTCTGGCTCACACATTTCTGTCTCAGCTCGGGAAGGAGGGCTCCGGAGCAGACTAATTAACGCAGTAGCCAAATCGCTCGCTCACAACTTTAATGCCGGTAGCTCACAAAGCAGAATTTTTGCTCTCAAGACTCCACAGCTTAGAGGGAGCCCTGCTCCCAACCCCTTCAAGAGCAGGGCTGTGATGGGGGCATGCTGATGTTGTGCACATGATGCGCTTGGAAGTGCGCGGTAGAGATGGTGCTGTTCTTCTGGCCTGCTGCCGCCCTCCCCACCCCCCTCAACAGACAAGCCTGTTGTGCTGTTGTCAGCAAATTGGGGGCAGGATGTGGGGGTGGGGTGGCCAAAAGGGAGCCAAAAACGGAATGGAAAAACAGAGGAGAGTGCAGAAGAGAGGTGGGATGCAAAGAGAAGTGGCTGGGGTGGAGAAGGAGAAGGGTGCCGAGAGGCGGGCGGGAGAGGGAGCCCATTATGAGCGCCAGAGAAAGGAACTGCTGTGGAGTGAAAAAGAAAAGGGGGGGGAGGCTTGCGAATGGGAGAGGGGGGGGGAAGGCGTGCTGAAGAGGTCTGCTGAGCTGCCTTTGTGTTGAGAGCCAGTTTGGTGTCGTGGTTAAGTGTGCGGACTCTAATCTGAGAAAACCGGGTTTGATTCCCCACTCCTCCACTTGCACCTGCTGCTGTGACCTTGGGTCAGTCACAAGCTCTGGCACAGCTGTCCTTGAAAAAGAGCAGTTTGTGTCAGAGTTCTCTCAGCCCCACCCACCTCACAGGGTGTCTGTTGTGGGGAGGGGAAGGGAAAGGAGTTTGTAAGCCGCTCTGAGACACCTTTGGGTGGTGAAGGGCAGGGTATAAATCCAATCTCTTCTTCTTCTTCTTCTTGCCCCAGGCTTCCTCTGTGAGCGGGACCGTCTCTCCTTCGGCTTCTGCCAGACGCTGCTCTTCCTGGGGAGGTGCCACCTGCCCACGGTCAGCACGCAGTGCTGCGAGACCTGCCACCAACACGGCCGCGGCCCCCGGGATCGTGGGAACGAGCGTGCCTCCCGGAGGTGAAGACTCCTCTTCCGGCAGCTGGGCGGTGAAGAGGATCAGGAGGGTCTCCGGGAGACCACGTTCCACGAAGCAGGTCCCTCCCAGCCGGGGTGGGCAAAGAGTCTGTCTGTTCACCATGTCGGGGTCTCGCCTGGGGCTCTGGTTAAGGCCCCCAGATGGCAGGTGGGGCGGCCGGGGAGGGGCCGGAAGTGGCCAGGCGGTCCCACGTCCGACCAATGAGCATTCGAAGAAAAGAGGAGGGGGGGGGGGGGGCGTCTCTGGTGCTATCGTCCTTGACACACTCAGGGTCACGTGGTGTTGGCGGGCCAGCACTCGGCGCTCGACCGAGAGACTTTTTCGAAACAGTTATTTTTGTATTTTCTATACATCAGCATCTAGCATTCTAAACCATGTAGTTGCGTTGTTATTCGTTGTCATTATTGACTTGAGAGGCTTGAAGCAGGGAGTTTTCTCAAGGATGTTTACGGGTGGAGTGGAAAGACAACCCCCGCCCCCCCCCCCACCCCCCCGGCCAGAAACTGACCATCAGCCGTGGTCAAACTAACGGAGGTGGGAAAAGAGACAACTGCCCAGCCTGGTTTCTGCGGTTCCCCCTGGCAGGGCCCGTGTTTCTTGCAGGTGTCATTCAAACCCATTTACCTTCAGTGGCAGGAATAATGGAGGTTCTTTTTAATCTGGGTTAGTAGAATGCAAACAGTGCAAGGAAAGCTCCGAGTTTTCTGTAATTTTGTGGGTGACAATGAGCTTGCGCTACTTTTATGACTAAACTCATTTCTTAGGGTTGGAGGAGGAGGAGGAGGAGAAGAGATTGGATTTATACCCCCTTGCCCTTCACTACCCGAAGGAGTCTCAGAGTCGCTTACAATCTCCTTTCCCTCCCTCTTCTCACAACAGACACCCTGTGTGAGGTAGGTGGGGCTGAGAGAGCTCTTTTGAGAACTGCCCTTGAGAGAACAGCTCTGAGAAAACTTTGACCCAAGGTCACACCAGCAGCTGCATGTGGAGGAGTGGGGAATCAAACCCAGTTCTCCCAGAGTAGAGTCTGTGCTCCTAACCACTACACCAAACTGGCACAACCCTTTCCCCATGGAATTCAGTGAAATCATAAGAACATAAGAGATGCCAATGTTGGATCAGGCCAAAGGCCCATCCAGTCCAACACTCTTTATCACACAGTGGCCAGAAATACCAGTCCCGTCAGGAGGTCCACCATCCTACCAAATGTATTGCTTTATGGATCTGTCTTGAAGCTGGTCAAAGCTATTTTTCGTTATAACATCAGAGAGTCACAGCTCAGAATGATAAGTGAAAAAGACCAAAAAAGCTATGCTATACGCTATAAAAATATTATATTGTGATTATTTTAACAATTTTAACAATTACAAATGGCTCTAACCTCACCTTCCAGATGCCCTGTTTACAACTATAGCTGCATTTTAGGAATTATGCAGAAATTGCGGAGATTGCTCTTTTCGCATAGAATAGATTGGTTGTAAAAGTACTTTATTTCTACAATGAATGGATACCAGGAGACGGAAGATTCTCGAAATGACTTGGTAGTCCGGAAAACTTCGTTAACTTCAAATGCTACATCTTGGACTTCCTTCCTGCTATGATGCTATAATTGTTGGTAATAGACTGATCATTTGTAATTGTTAAAATAATCATAATATAATATTTTATAACATATAGCACAGCTTTTTGGTCTTTCTCAAAGCTATTTTTCAGCATGATGGTGGCCATACATTGTATATTTTTCCTCTCCCAGAAAGACACACACTTTTCTTGAAGTCAACTGTGCATGGCTCTGTACGTGCATAACTCCCCCACTCCCTCTTCCCCGGCCTTCAGTTTGTCCCATGCAGTCTCCACAGCAATTCATCACAGATGCCAAGGGGGTTAAAATAAAACTGCTCGCAAGAAGGTGCTATGGAAGGATGTCTTCGTAATCCTCATTTTTTAAAAAAAAGCAATCGGCCGTAAGTTTTAAGAGCATTAAGTTACCCTTAAAAAAAATAAAAGCAGCACATTTTCCTTTCCTTTTTAAATCCTCTTTTTGTACAGCCTGGGTTCTACTCGTCATAGCATGGATCCAGTCCATGTGAACCACTCTTTTCTCCGGATTCTTTCGTCTTCTATGCTTTGTGCAAAGCTATGGGGTGGAGGTGGGGGAACCTGTGGTCGGTGCAAAGTATTCCATGACTCTCCTAGGATGGCTGTAATGTGTATTCGCCGCCTACAAGGGACTGGCGTAGAGTTGGGAGGCACCTCGGACATCATCTAGCCTACCCCACTGCAAGGAGATGGGACGGCAGCATACCCAACAGAGGACCATCCAGCCTCTGCTTAAAGACACCCCCACCCCGGTGAAGGAGAGCGCAGCAATCTTCCAGTGCAGTCTGTTCCCCTGTTCTCCTAGTATTTAACTGAAAGCTGCTTCTTCGTAATTTTGATTGTTCTAGTCCTGCCCCCTGGGGCAAGAGGGGACAAATCTGCTCCCTTTTACGTGAGGGCCCTTTGGGTTTTTGAAGACCGCGATCATCTCTCCAGGCTCAATATGTCCACCTTTTACTATAGTGCTTGGTTTCTGAGCCCCCCTCTTCCTTCCTGGCTGCCCTCCTCCGGGTGCACTCCAGTTTGTTCCGCCCGAACCGGACCCAGCATTCCAAAGGATCAAGAACCAGACCCCGCCAGAACCGGACCCCACCAGAACCGGACCCAGCATTCCGATCAATACGGAATGGTGACCCCCTGTGATCTGTGCAGTATCCTCTTGGGTCCACAGTATCCCCAACTAGTTACATTATCAAAGGAGGAGGAGGTAAGGTTGGTGTGGCATGGCTTATTCTTTTAATAATTTGTTTGTTTGTGTCATTTGTATCCCGCCCTCCCCGCCAAGGCAGGCGCAGGGCGGCTCACGGACAATATGCTAAAACAGTTAAAACACAGTATTTAACTAAAATCACAACAATGCAGAATGAAACACATCATAAAGTGCTAGTATAATGCATAGCCGATGGCGGCATTCTCAGCGTCCATGTGGTCAACTACCACTGTAGCCTGGGTTTTGTCAGGCTATGGATCATATTTTTGAGTTGATGTTGGTATTGGGGCCAGGGGCCCTGGTTGTTGGGAGGGCGCCACCCTCATCGAAAGCCTGGTGGAAGAGCTCCGTCTTGCAGGCCCTGCGGATAGTCAGTCATCTGTTCCGGATAGCCAGTAATCCAACTGGTCTGTTGTTTCCTGGATCATACTGGGCCGTCTCCAGTTTTCGGGCCCCTTGCCTGTTGTCTCTGAATTCTCAGATTCAAACCAGAGGTTCCGAATCCAAAGTAACACCTAGATGCTCCTTTGGTACCCAGGATGTCGCTCATCTGGCCTGGAGACCTAGACTCCTTTAACGCAGCTACGTGTTTCTAACTTAGCTATTCCGGCTGCCATTTGCCTTTGAGCCTGTGGTTCTGTCTCTGTCCAGACTCATCCCCCCCCCCTTGAGTTCCTCCTGCTTGAATTGTTGGTTTTCCAAATTTCCAGGGTGCGTTTCTGACTTATGCTCAGTTCTCACATCCCTCGTTGTCACACATTCCAAGATGATGCGGCCGTTTTCCTCCAAGGCCCCTGCCGTTTCCACTCTGTCTGTCAGGGTTAAGGGGCGAAGGGCAGATCCCCTGGTTCCTTCCTCCATCGTCTGGGAAATGAAGAGCTTAACGCTTGCCTCGTTCCTAGATACGTTCCCACCAGGCGCCAGGAGGATCCATGAAGTCTGTGAGCTGCAGCAGGAAAGCATCACCCCAGATCTTCCAGCGGGTTGTGCGGGCTGTATACTATCCTGCCGCCACGTTACTGCTTTCGATTTTCCCACCTCCTTTCTTTACCCAAATGGTTTCAACAGGACATCCCTGTGTCATCTCATGGTGTTGTACATATTAGATTCCATGTCAAAAATGAAGTCAAATGAGGAGGAAGATCTATGTTTTATTTCAATTAACAAGAAAACAGTTGGACCAAATAGTCCATCCAAAATTGACTACTTTCTTCTCAGCATATTCAGGAGAGATGCTTCAATTAATAGGAAAACAGTTAGACCAAAAACTCATAAAAAATTGACAACTTTCTTCTTTTTCTTCTTCATCTTCTTCTTGAACCTATTCTGAACATATTCAGGAAATACACGATATTTTATACATGGACTGACATCATCGAGAAAACAATATTCAAACAGCATAATTGGTTACAAAAGACAGTGGTAATTTGAGTAATAATCCTCTGACTGGCCAGATATAAAGAAACATATATCTACGTCAAACTAAGTAAAACCTAAGTGTTTACTTAACCTAATCTAAATGATAATGGGCAAGGATTCTTCATATGAGACTAAAATCTTATCTGACCCAGACATTGAAAGGTTTGCCTTAAGAACTACATAATCATGAACTTTGTACCTATTATGTTGTCTGCTAACAATATCAGACCTGCAAGAGGAAAGCCTTCTATATAACAGGCCTTTCTAACATCCTAACAAAATATTAAAGAATAAATCTATAAAAACCAGAGAAATATGAATATGAACAATCAAGAAGAAAAAAACCTATATATAAAAATCTTTATATTCCCATTCATACTACAATGGATTTCCACGCAGGCGTACGTCTTGTTCTTGTATATGGCTACGGTGCCTTCCCCTTGGGGTGGTTTCGTTGGAACAAAGCACACCTTTCAGTTCAATGGTATCTGACCAAGGGAGCTCTTTGACGCTCGAAAGCTCACACTCCAGGAACCTTGTGGGTCTCTGAGGTGCTGCTGGACTTGAATCCAGCTCCCAGTTCCCTTCTCCCAGTCTTGAATCCCCTCGCAACACATCTCACCAGTCTCTTCTGGATCCCACTTTCCTTCAAGCGTCTGTGCTTCACGGTCATCTTATTTGGTTTCCATACTTTGTGCATTAGTGTAAAAACATCGGCAGCCATAAGCAGTACACGCTACTGGTTTCCCCATCGTATTTTCCTGAAAATAATTCCGCACCTCCCTCCCTGTCCCGTTTTGTCTTTGGTCACACACATTCTTGTTCGTAATTTGCGACTAACTGCTTTGCCCTGATCTGTTTCCTCCCTCCACGGCAGGGCCTAAAGCTGCGCTGATTATGTTCGCAGGGCTCTTGGCGAACATACCCATTCCAGGAGGTGCTCGCCCTTTCTCGCCTGCAGTCCCTTGTTTTGACAGCCTAGTCCAAGAAACCA